TCACGCTAGAAACGAAGCTGGAAGAGTATGATTTTCACAGATGAAGAGATGGAAATAATTTATAGGATAGTGGGAATCTATAAAAGTCGCCAAAGGTGCATAAAGAATTTCTTCTGATGCTGCTTGATTTATGCGATTTTTACATGCAAAATAAATTTAATTTCTTTCATAAATTCCTTTTAATCAGAAAAATATTCTCTTTTCTGGCTGCGATTTTATGTAATCTCAATTACTAATTTGAGATTGAAATAGTCCATCGCATTCAAATTATATACTAAATCCTTGATACATTACACGAATCCCCATAATTTAGTAAAGAATATATTAATAAATAAGAAATATGTCCTTCTTACAGAGGGAATGAATAATGTTTTTTAAAGGTTTTTGCTGAAAAACAAACTTGCTTTAAAAAAGTGAATGGATATTTGATTTTTTTATGCTGTTACAGGAACATATAGGATTTAATCATTCATGTCATCCGAGTTGACTTAATTGAAAAAGTCTTCTTCTTCTTCTTTTTTTATTGCCAGTTAAACTCCCTTCAAAAACAGTTAATGGAGTTCCTCTGCGGCCTATTCCCTTAAAAATTCGGACCCTAAAACCAATAAGCTGTTCAAGAAAATCCTTAAGTCGTGAAGGTTCCTTACCTGGAAAAGGTGTTACAAACAGAGATGGACATGGTTTGGGGATTTTTCCTACAAGAAGTAACTGGATACCCCTGAAATCCTCAGAACAAACACACGACTAAGGAAGCTTTGCACAATGGACAGTCCGAATAAATAAAGCATTGAACACCTTGTAAGAAAGTAACACAATTCTCACCTTCAGAAAAATGTTAACTATGCGAACCGTGCTTCTCGCAACAGGCAAAAGGCAGCTTCTATTCTATACCTTGTCCCTGTCCCTAGAATTCCTCGCTTACAAAATCTGTATAAACTGGTGCTGCTAAATTCACCATTCTGGGAAATCAATGAGCATATCGTAATATAAGGGAAGTTGCAAGTTGCCACCGATTTCCATCCAGCTTCCTAGAAACAGAGGCCTTGGTTGTGTTTTCTTGGTGTGCAATCATCATGAACAAGAAGGTTCCAAGAAATGGACGAGCAACTCCAGTCAGTCAACTTCATTTCCCATTTACGAAGACTCAACGACGGTCTAATAAAGTCTTCCCTGGATGGGGAGTAAATAAATTCCCAGGAGAAACAAATATGACCCATGTTCTTTCATGCATGGTTATAGGGCCAGGTTCAAGATCAAGTTGTGGGTTGGTGAAGCTAATTCTGGGTCCATGTTCTTTCATGCATGGTTATAGGGCCAGGTTCAAGATCAAGTTGTGGGTTGGTGAAGCTAATTCTGGATCCATGTTCTTTCATGCATGGTTATAGGGCCGGGTTCGAGATGCAAGTTATGGTCTGATAGATTAATTTAAATTGATTTATTAATAAAACAATATTAATTATATTATATTGAATAAAAAAAATTAAAATCAATTTTTTTAAGTTTAACAATTTAGATTTTATTTGATTTTAATCCATTTAATTTTTAATTTAATTTCAACATAAACCTGGCTCAAATCTAAACCTGGATCATTCAATATCGAATCAATAAGTGAATATTAATAATTATGCTTTTATGTCTTTTAACGAGTTTGAGAAAAGTAATATTTTCATTGAGCAAAAGTTACTATAACAAGAAAGGGGGTGCTTGCCGCAGCGAAGCAATTGTTTTTTAAAGAGTTTTTAATTTAAAAATATATTATAATATTAATTTTTTTAAAATTTATTTTTAATATTAATATATCAAAATAATTCAATATCACAAAAAATTAATTTAAAATAATTTTTTTTTAAATTTAGAAAAACTCCTGTTAAAACACCTCAAACACCCTTGAAATAAGAAATTCGGGTGTGTACATACATACCTGTTGACTTTATTCATTGGTTAAAAATCATGTTTTATTGCGAGTTTTTTAAGTATTATTATCGTTTTGATGTTTTTATTATACTTTTTTTAATCATAAATATATTAAAATAATATATTTTTAGTTTTTTTATTTTTTTTAATATCAGTATATTAAAATAATTTAAAAATAATTAAAAATAATTTGAAGAATAATTTTAAAAATCCAGATTATAACACAAAAACAATAACTCATTTTTTTAACTGCCTTCACAAGGTTTTACATTTTATATTGAGCGCGTGTACGTGTACGGGCATTGTACTAGTTTTGTTTATAGTTCAATAGACTGCATTGGGATTTACAAAACTGAGTCACCATTGATGTTGTTTTTGAGGATCTATCTTTGATTTACAGGCTGCAGCTGACCCTCCAGTGTTATATGCTGGGCTTATTGCATATTTTCAGAATCTTCAAAGTGGGCTTGCTGCTTATGTTCAACTCTTCGGACAAATGTGCCTAAACTGGCCAGGCCCATTTATTATAAGTAATCCATCAAAAAGCCCAAAAGGGATTGTTTTTTTTCTTATAAAAGCTGATCACACATAATATTATGTTTTTTCACACATCTCCACAGCACACCAAATTTTAATGTATATTCATGAATGTAATCAATCAAATATAAATATGTCACTGCTTTAAAATGTTAATGACAGGAAGTTAAAGAGAGAGATTTTACTCCTAATAATATTTTTTGGATTGAATAATAAAGTTGTGTGGAAGAATCCTCCCAATGTTAAGCTTTCCTTCAATCCCATCGGGGCCATGTTTGGTATCGGACAGAATAGGAATAGTTTCCATTTTTTCTGTCAACAAGCTGCTTGATGTTTTGATTCATTGGGGAAAAAACGAGACGATGAACGTTTATGGGATTAAAGGTTTTTCTTTTTTTATCATCTTCGTAAGTACATTTAATTTTAACTAATGAAACTCATATTTTCAGCCTAGAAAACACAATCTTCATCAAAATAACAAGGCCCATCTTCCTCAATCATCCATACCTCAAAATTCCTTCGCATCTCATAATTGCATCTTCTACTTGCTCGCCTTCTTAATGGCTGTTTGACTCCCCATAACTCGCACTTGTTCCTGTTCCCTTGGACACAATGGAGTCAAACGTTCTCTAGCTTCGGCGTCATCTACTGCCCTGAAAAAACTGACACCGAAGCTCATCGGGATGTTTTAACCTGTAGAATAGAACTGTATCCCACCCTGCCGTTACTCACTGATGAGTTTTTTTTTTTTGTTAAGATTTTTTTTTATAAAAATCTTTTTAAATAAAATGAATAATGATTTAGATATTATTAATTACCTATGTATTTATTTGAGACTATATATTTTATTATGAATGATTTTTTATAATATAAATATTCAAAACATGATGAATTATCATGCCTTTTTATTTAGAATAATCATTTATATTAAAATAATAATTTTTTTTATATTTATACTTATACATATATACAAGATCTTTTAAAAGATTTATTAATTTATTAATAATATATTAAAAATATTTGTTTTTTATTAATCCGAAATCAGAGCATTCTTCAAGAAATAAATATGATCTTTTCAATGCTGCCTACATCATTTTTTATAGGATAAACTTAAATTTTTTTTAATGATAATAGCTCTATAAAGTTCTAGAAAATGGTACGAGTTCTCTACAAGAACAATCTCTAAGAAATTGTTCACTACCTCTTTATAAGCAACACTCCCAACTAAAATGAATACCTCGTCATATATCTAGCATTACATATCTTGGATCTTGAAGCGTAATCACCTACACTACCAGAACAATCCCCAATGCAAGTCATGTAATAATCATTAACCTTGTTTGGAATCTTTATAGGTGCTACCATAATCTAACAAAATTTGCTTTTCTTCTTTGCTTTCCGTCTCATGTTAAGAGATGTCCATCATAATAATTGATGAAAATCAGAAACTAATGGCATTGTTTAATAACTGGGAAGAGAAGGATAAGATGTTATATAAAGGTGGTGTGGTCACGGGATTTTGACGTGGGTTGGAATTGTTTTTTGGAAGCATACAGAGCAAAGATGGGTGCACAAGGATTTAGCTCTACGCTCTAATGCGGAGTGAAAATTCTTAGAGCTAGTTTGTTCAACATACTGGAGATGTCCCATGCTCAGATTTCCTTTCTTGAAAACCAAAATATCACTTTAGTTTTTGACGTTTTGTTGGTTAATATGCCAGAGTATTTTTTCTTGAAGGAACAAAATACGGGCTTCTTAATCCAGTGAGATTTTTTTAAAAAAAACTCTTATTAATATGTTATTAATATAGGTGTTTGGGTTATAAAAGTAACAATCTAAATTAATAATAATGGGAATTAATAATAATGGGAGTAAGTGAAGTCATTCTTTACACCTTAAATAATAGACATCAATTCAATGCCACTTGCAATATCACTTGTCTTATTCTTTGTTTTTTAATATGAATGCTTATCTATAAATAGATAATGCATCTAAGTTTATTTTACACACCATAAAAGAAAAAAAAGAGAGAGTAAAAGAGAGAAAGCAATCTTACAAAATAATAAAGTATTTGTAAGAGAGTAAGTGATGTGTTTTTTTTAATAATAGAGAAATTTTAATTTTTTTTCTATTAGTAAAGAGAGGTTGTAATTCCCACATTACTTAATAAAATTATTTTATATTTGCCCATGAATGTAGTCAAATTTGGATGAACCATGTAAATTTTTGTGTATCTTATTTCTCATTTTATTTTATTTATTACTTTTTATCTTGTCGGGTTTGCATATTAATCTCCTAATATTAGCCAGCTTGCACATACTTTAATTAATCTTATAAATCCTGAAGTTAATAATTATATAAGATTCAAATTGATAATAATGGCATCACATGAAAGCTGGAGCAGGTCGGCGTTGACCACCAAGTCTGCCAAATCTAGCCCACTGAAAAATCCGTAAACAAGAACAAAACCACACAGGAACAAGATGATAGCATAAGCTGTTAGAAATGAGGATGGAAATTTTGCAGAATTAAACGTTATTGGTAAGAAGAATTCTTTTGCTCACGGAGGAAATTGACTCATTCTTGGTCACGCTAGAAACGAAGCTGGAAGAGTATGATTTTCACAAATGAAGAGATGGAAATAATTTATAGGATAGTGGGAATCTATGAAAGTCGCCAAAGGTGCATAAAGAAATTGTTCTGATGCTGCTTGATTTATGCGATTTTTACATGCAAAATAAATTTAATTTCTTTCATAAATTCCTTTTAATCAGAAAAATATTCTCTTTTCTGGCTGCGATTTTATGTAATCTCAATTACTAATTTGAGATTGAAATAGTCCATCGCATTCAAATTATATACTAAATCCTTGATACATTACACGAATCCCCATAATTTAGTAAAGAATATATTAATAAATAAGAAATATGTCCTTCTTACAGAGGGAATGAATAATGTTTTTTAAAGGTTTTTGCTGAAAAACAAACTTGCTTTAAAAAAGTGAATGGATATTTGATTTTTTTATGCTGTTACAGGAACATATAGGATTTAATCATTCATGTCATCCGAGTTGACTTAATTGAAAAAGTCTTCTTCTTCTTCTTTTTTTATTGCCAGTTAAACTCCCTTCAAAAACAGTTAATGGAGTTCCTCTGCGGCCTATTCCCTTAAAAATTCGGACCCTAAAACCAATAAGCTGTTCAAGAAAATCCTTAAGTCGTGAAGGTTCCTTACCTGGAAAAGGTGTTACAAACAGAGATGGACATGGTTTGGGGATTTTTCCTACAAGAAGTAACTGGATACCCCTGAAATCCTCAGAACAAACACACGACTAAGGAAGCTTTGCACAATGGACAGTCCGAATAAATAAAGCATTGAACACCTTGTAAGAAAGTAACACAATTCTCACCTTCAGAAAAATGTTAACTATGCGAACCGTGCTTCTCGCAACAGGCAAAAGGCAGCTTCTATTCTATACCTTGTCCCTGTCCCTAGAATTCCTCGCTTACAAAATCTGTATAAACTGGTGCTGCTAAATTCACCATTCTGGGAAATCAATGAGCATATCGTAATATAAGGGAAGTTGCAAGTTGCCACCGATTTCCATCCAGCTTCCTAGAAACAGAGGCCTTGGTTGTGTTTTCTTGGTGTGCAATCATCATGAACAAGAAGGTTCCAAGAAATGGACGAGCAACTCCAGTCAGTCAACTTCATTTCCCATTTACGAAGACTCAACGACGGTCTAATAAAGTCTTCCCTGGATGGGGAGTAAATAAATTCCCAGGAGAAACAAATATGACCCATGTTCTTTCATGCATGGTTATAGGGCCAGGTTCAAGATCAAGTTGTGGGTTGGTGAAGCTAATTCTGGATCCATGTTCTTTCATGCATGGTTATAGGGCCGGGTTCGAGATGCAAGTTATGGTCTGATAGATTAATTTAAATTGATTTATTAATAAAACAATATTAATTATATTATATTGAATAAAAAAAATTAAAATCAATTTTTTTAAGTTTAACAATTTAGATTTTATTTGATTTTAATCCATTTAATTTTTAATTTAATTTCAACATAAACCTGGCTCAAATCTAAACCTGGATCATTCAATATCGAATCAATAAGTGAATATTAATAATTATGCTTTTATGTCTTTTAACGAGTTTGAGAAAAGTAATATTTTCATTGAGCAAAAGTTACTATAACAAGAAAGGGGGTGCTTGCCGCAGCGAAGCAATTGTTTTTTAAAGAGTTTTTAATTTAAAAATATATTATAATATTAATTTTTTTAAAATTTATTTTTAATATTAATATATCAAAATAATTCAATATCACAAAAAATTAATTTAAAATAATTTTTTTTTAAATTTAGAAAAACTCCTGTTAAAACACCTCAAACACCCTTGAAATAAGAAATTCGGGTGTGTACATACATACCTGTTGACTTTATTTATTGGTTAAAAATCATGTTTTACTGCGAGTTTTTTAAGTATTATTATCGTTTTGATGTTTTTATTATACTTTTTTTAATCATAAATATATTAAAATAATATATTTTTAGTTTTTTTATTTTTTTTAATATCAGTATATTAAAATAATTTAAAAATAATTAAAAATAATTTGAAGAATAATTTTAAAAATCCAGATTATAACACAAAAACAATAACTCATTTTTTTAACTGCCTTCACAAGGTTTTACATTTTATATTGAGCGCGTGTACGTGTACGGGCATTGTACTAGTTTTGTTTATAGTTCAATAGACTGCATTGGGATTTACAAAACTGAGTCACCATTGATGTTGTTTTTGAGGATCTATCTTTGATTTACAGGCTGCAGCTGACCCTCCAGTGTTATATGCTGGGCTTATTGCATATTTTCAGAATCTTCAAAGTGGGCTTGCTGCTTATGTTCAACTCTTCGGACAAATGTGCCTAAACTGGCCAGGCCCATTTATTATAAGTAATCCATCAAAAAGCCCAAAAGGGATTGTTTTTTTTCTTATAAAAGCTGATCACACATAATATTATGTTTTTTCACACATCTCCACAGCACACCAAATTTTAATGTATATTCATGAATGTAATCAATCAAATATAAATATGTCACTGCTTTAAAATGTTAATGACAGGAAGTTAAAGAGAGAGATTTTACTCCTAATAATATTTTTTGGATTGAATAATAAAGTTGTGTGGAAGAATCCTCCCAATGTTAAGCTTTCCTTCAATCCCATCGGGGCCATGTTTGGTATCGGACAGAATAGGAATAGTTTCCATTTTTTCTGTCAACAAGCTGCTTGATGTTTTGATTCATTGGGGAAAAAACGAGACGATGAACGTTTATGGGATTAAAGGTTTTTCTTTTTTTATCATCTTCGTAAGTACATTTAATTTTAACTAATGAAACTCTGGAAGAAGTACATTTAATTTTAACTAATGAAACTCATATTTTCAGCCTAGAAAACACAATCTTCATCAAAATAACAAGGCCCATCTTCCTCAATCATCCATACCTCAAAATTCCTTCGCATCTCATAATTGCATCTTCTACTTGCTCGCCTTCTTAATGGCTGTTTGACTCCCCATAACTCGCACTTGTTCCTGTTCCCTTGGACACAATGGAGTCAAACGTTCTCTAGCTTCGGCGTCATCTACTGCCCTGAAAAAACTGACACCGAAGCTCATCGGGATGTTTTAACCTGTAGAATAGAACTGTATCCCACCCTGCCGTTACTCACTGATGAGTTTTTTTTTTTTGTTAAGATTTTTTTTTATAAAAATCTTTTTAAATAAAATGGATAATGATTTAGATATTATTAATTACCTATGTATTTATTTGAGACTATATATTTTATTATGAATGATTTTTTATAATATAAATATTCAAAACATGATGAATTATCATGCCTTTTTATTTAGAATAATCATTTATATTAAAATAATAATTTTTTTTATATTTATACTTATACATATATACAAGATCTTTTAAGAGATTTATTAATTTATTAATGATATATTAAAAATATTTATTTTTTATTAATCTGAAATCAGAGCATTCTTCAAGAAATAAATATGATTTTTTCAATGCTGCCTACATCATTTTTTATAGGATAAACTTAAATTTTTTTTAATGATAATAGCTCTATAAAGTTCTAGAAAATGGTACGAGTTCTCTACAAGAACAATCTCTAAGAAATTGTTCACTACCTCTTTATAAGCAACACTCCCAACTAAAATGAATACCTCGTCATATATCTAGCATTACATATCTTGGATCTTGAAGCGTAATCACCTACACTACCAGAACAATCCCCAATGCAAGTCATGTAATAATCATTAACCTTGTTTGGAATCTTTATAGGTGCTACCATAATCTAACAAAATTTGCTTTTCTTCTTTGCTTTCCGTCTCATGTTAAGAGATGTCCATCATAATAATTGATGAAAATCAGAAACTAATGGCATTGTTTAATAACTGGGAAGAGAAGGATAAGATGTTATATAAAGGTGGTGTGGTCACGGGATTTTGACGTGGGTTGGAATTGTTTTTTGGAAGCATACAGAGCAAAGATGCGTGCACAAGGATTCAGCTCTCGGTTCTAATGCGAAGAGAGTGAAAATTCTTAGAGCTAGTTTGTTCAACAAACTGGAATTGACCCGCTGCTTGTCCCTTGCTCAGATTTCCTTTCTTGAAAACCAAAATATCACTTTAGTTTTTGACGTTTTGTTGGTTAATATGCCAGAGTATTTTTTCTTGAAGGGCTCCTTAATCCAGTGAGATTTTTTTTTTTTTACTTTTATTAATATGGGTGTTTAGGTTATAAAACTAACAATCTAAATTAATAATAATAGTCCTTTACACTTTAAATAATAATTATAGATATCAATTCAGTATCACTTGCAATACTAGTTGATATCACTTGTCTTGTCATTTATTTTTTTGCATGTATACTTATCTATAAATAAATAATGAATTTAAGTTTATTTTACACACCACAAGAGAAAAGAAAAGAAGAGTAAAAGAGAGAAAGCAATCTCACAAAATAATAAGGTATTTATGAGAGAGTAAGTGAGGTATTTTCTCCTAATAATAGAGAGATTTTAATTTTTTTTCTATTAGTAAAAAGAAGTTGTAATTCTTACATTACTTAGTAAAATCATTCTATAATTTCTCATAAATGTAACCAAATTTAGGTGAACCATGTAAATTTTTATGTGTTTCATTTCTCATTTTATCTTATCTATTACATTTTATCTTGTCGGGTTTGCATGTCAATATCTTAATATTAGTCAGTTTGTGCGTACCTTGACTAATTCCACACATTTTAAAGTTAACGATCATGTAAGTTTTCAGTAGTCTTAAAATTTATGAGACTCAAACTGGTAATCTTTAAGAAGTAAACTTAAAACCTAACTAGTTGAATTATACTCTTTAGAGCTAGAATACGAAGATCCTTATCTCTTGGTTTCATGTATGCACAAATTGAAAGCCTTAGACGTTAATAGTACAGAGATCATTCTACTACATACGAAATTATGCAATAAACTAAGCAGACGTCTAATTCATTAAAAAACAGAGAGAGGGAAGAGAAAAAGTTTTAGTCACTGATGTTGTTTCTTATGATGTCTTTTCTGGGCATATAGTGCATTCGAACCGAACCTAACAAAACAAAGACGCAACGAAAACAAGTTGTGTAGGAATCGAATTTAATTTGGTTCCTGAGATTCCCATAAGATAGCAATGATACTCTCTCTGTTTGCACCAAGTCTTCCAATGGGATTCGATGCGCTTCACTCTCTTATCAATATGGTTCCTGCTTCAATTCTATACATGTGCTTCTACAACTCTGCTCACACTCGCTAATTTCAAAGCCAGTTCTTTTCCTTGTGACATGTATTCTAGGGAAATAACCGTAAGGACTACAGGCATAAAGATTCAATGGTGAGTTATAGGCATAAGCAGAGTCCATAGATCTCAATTGTTTTGGTAGAACATCTTATAGTTTTCAGATTAAATACGTGATTGATATGAATCTTCATGTATTAAATTTACCCCAAAACAAGAGTAATTCATAACCTTTTCATTCCAATCGCTTCGGTGTATCCCTCTGGATATGAATTAGACAAAATAATGGCAACTACTTACTGTTGAAATATCCTTGACCGCGACAATAGGGTCAACATCAGGTTAAAAGGGCTCCAAAGACAGTCCAATAATTAACCTTCCTGGTTGTTTTAGTCCTATTTTATTCCTTTTCACATTGTTAAAAATGATGACCTTACCATATTAATTTTTACATTTGCTGCGAACTATGCTTATGTCCTTTTTTTTTTGTTTTGACAATATTCCACACTCTATGCAACTCTTGCCGATCCTTCAAATTAACCCTACCTGATGTTAACTCCAAGAAACAAGTCTAACATAATTTTTAAATCTCAAAATTATTACCCTGGATTTATACACACACTCACACTTCTGTTCATCTCAATAATCTCAAGATTCTAAGTTCTTCTTGATTACAATCTATCTAGGCGTTCCATTTCCTTGATGGAGCAAAAATGAGGAGCACAGCAAACAAGCAAAGCAACAAGCTCATTCGACTTTTATTTGCACCTTTCAGAACCATTAGCAAGGCTAGGTACTTCTACATGAAGAGCATGTGGAATTGTGCTTACAATCTCAAGATTCTACATGAAGAGCATGTGGAATTGTGCTGGAAAAGTTGGCAATGGAAGTTTTGTAGGTGGCCCAACTTCTCAAGCTGTGACCTTGCCTAACAGTTTCAGTGTTAAACCTGATCCGAACAAGTACAGAGATGAGGTGCTCAAGGGGATTTTAGAGTCTTTGGCTAAGAAGAGAGATGATGATCACCAGATA